AGACAGGATATATTCATTCAGATCGTCCTGACAACAAGACCAAGTTGAGAAAACGGGGCCATACCACTTCTGATCTGGATAAAGTTGCTAAAGGAAATGAATTGCCTTTTTGAAAAGGAGTAGCTTGACGCTAAGGATAGAAAGACTTATGTAATAATGCTAACTATGATGAAGGCGAACGGTCTGAGTATTAACCAAGTACAGGGTTCAAAGCTGGAAATTATTATGCCTATTATGGCAGAGGAGTAGGAAAATATGCGTCAATCCAAGTCCTCCAGACATCACCTTAAACGAAATATGATGAATACATCTAATATCAAAGAAATTTAAAATATAAAAACAAAGTCAGACTTATTTTTTACAATGGAAAAACGGCGGAAATAGCAGTAAATAAAGCAAGGCTCACCAGATTGGTATCCACCTCGACCTCGACCTCCACCGCCACCACGACCTCCACGATAGCCACCCCCACTCCCCCCACCGTCAAACCCACCACCTCCTCCACCACGTCCTCCTCCGAAACCACCCCCTCTGCCTCCAAATTGACTGCCACCCCCTCTGCCTCCAAATTGACCACCACCCCCTCCTTGGCGCTGCATAAAACTTGGCATTTCGGGAGGTGGTGGCTCCTGCTCCCAGGTTCGGCCACCACGATCAGGAACCTGAGTTTTATTTAGGAAAAATAAACTATTTACAAGAATATTAAGCTTAAGATACTGCCAAAGAAAATATGTTTCAAGACATTAGTAAAAAGGTTAAAATTATAAATATCTGTGCTTAAGTTTCTGGATGCTTACTTACTTGAGGCCTGATCGGATTTGAGACAATGGTATTAGTGGCAAAAAAAGGTTATCGAAGACTAAATAATAATACTCAGTGCGCCTATAACCCTAGACTTTAATATTATTCCCAATTGGATACTAAAAAGTTCCAAACTAGGTCGCAAAGAAAATTACCGACTTAATTAAGCGAGCTGATTTAATGTTATTTTCGTGAGTGCGTAGATTTTGGAGAGTACCAGTAAATCATATATATTAGTTGTGTTCACACTATTTCAGTTAAGGTGACGAAGGACTGGTAGTTGAATTTTCCCACAATGATATGGGTAGATGCAAAGAAAAGTTGGGTTTCGAGGAATCTCTCGTTTCATAATTGTTTAGCTTACTTCCATTTCGAGTGAAAGTGTTGGGTAAGAGATTCGAAGGTCGGTTACATCAGCAGACGTTGGCAGATTTCTCTTGACCAGCTTTCGATTGGCTTTACTGGAAGATTCATGCTGACGCAGTATCGGAGGCAATCTCCTTCGATTCCGATGAAAAGGTGCTAAGCTTTCGTCCGTCATATGACGGACATCATCAGAGCGAGGTAACATCGTCACAACAAGAGTCAAGAAAACTCACCAGTAGATCCCTAAAGAGCTGCATTCATACCCTACCTCGCTCTGTTGATGTCCGTCATATGACGGACGAAAGCTTAGCACCTTATCACCGGAATCGAAGATTGCCTCAAATACACCGTCAGCATGAATCTTCCAGTAAAGCCAATCGACAGCTGGTCAAGAGGAATCCGCCGTCGTCTTCTGGTG